ACAGTGAAATGACTTTCTTAACAGCTAATCTGATGATGGATTCAATGAAGTCTTTCCACCTTATGTTAGCTGAGAACATTAGTCCGAGAAGGCGCAATGAATCCCTTTCCTGGAGGATAGAATCAGCCATACTGATGGAAGGCAGAAATGGGTCATTCAGATGATTAACGGAGAGCAGTTTAGTTTTGTAGTGGTTAAAATTGACAAGCCATGTTTTGCCTCAGTAAAGCAAGGTCAAAATGGCATTTTGACCTTGTCTTACTATAGAAGCAAGAGTAAATGGTAGTGTCGTCAGCATAGATGCCAAGTTGAGAGTTGATATCATTGGGAAGTTTGTTAATGAAGATAAAAACAGTGGACCAAAAATAGATTCCTGTTGGATACCTGCGTTAATACGAAAAATTGTAAACGAGTGACCGTTCAGGAAAACTTTGATTTCTCGATTCGATAGAAACGACTGGATCAGCTCTAAAACGGGCCCAGGGGTACCGCAGTTTTTTAACTGGTGGCGAAGAACTGAATGCTAGACCCTGTCAAAGACTTTCGAGATGTCCAATAATACATCCCGGGTTTCACTGTTTTTAACTAAAGCATGATAGACTCTTTCCGCAATTATCTTTAATACATAAGATCTGGAGAAACGAAAGCTGTATTGCTTGTCTGAGACAATTGATCAGGGCCTCTAGGAGTTTCCCAAACAAAGGTAGAAGGCTAATAGGCCGATATTTGGATAGGTCAGAAGATTCACCAGAGTTCTTAAAAACTGGAACAACAGACGATGACTTCCAGCAAGCAGGAAAGCAGGAGGCAACGAGACATTTATTACACAGTTTTGAGAGAACAGGAGCCAGTTCGAGAGTACACTTCATAATGACTATTACAGGGATGGCATCGGGCTTACATGCTTTGTGGGGATCAAGGTTAGATATAATAGCAGAAACCATGGAAGGTGTTCAATACATATCATTCAACAAAAAATAAGTTCTAAGTGGGAAGTTAGGCAGGAATACTCCAGAAGAGTCAAGAGTAGAGTTTGAGGAGAATTTACAGGCAAAGCCTTCAGCTTTATCAGCAGAGGATGATAACACCTCAAATCGATTGAAAAGTGGGGAATAGAGACCTTTCACTTATTCAGTACACTATTACAGAGAGCCAGTAGTCAATAGTGCCAACGTTTTTAGAGGCTAGGCTATGTGGTGCCTCATTCTATCAGCAAACAGGGACTTAGCTTCTTTGGGGACTCGTTTTCATTTGTTACGAGCAGTAGCATATAGGTCTGTTATGGTGAGAACTGCTCTGCTAGTATAGCCAAAAAACAGAGGTTCCTATGTGTAATTGCGACCGAGTATGCTGGAGTGAACCATGGAGAGGATTGCTGTTTCACCTGGTATTTCCGAGAAAGCGTCCAAGCCGGCTTTAACCCAAGAAGAAACCTCAATGGCGCATTTTTCAATTAAGAGTTTGAAGATGTTAGTACAAGAGTTGTCACGAAGAAAATACAGCAATGAGTCCCAATCAGCATGCTGATACCGGAAGATGTCTTATGGATAGGGGGTTCCTTTTTAATGGATGCTTGGAAGGAGATATCAATAATTGCCACAGAGTGATCCGAGTTACCAAGAGGACAGAGGAAGTAAGAAATAGATCTAATAGACAAGCATGTTACTCGGTTTGGCTAAGGAAACGAGAGGGGAATTTCAAGATTAGATTTATAGGATGGGGGTCATGAAAAGATTTAATGTACTTTTATAATCTTTCAGCCACTTGTCGTGGTGAGCATTAAAGTCACAGAAAACAAAGACATTCACAGATGAATGGAGAGAAAATGCCTTTTCTATAATGTTAGCTATTGCATCTAATACATTTTATTCTGGGAAAGAGGGAGACTGTTAAAGGAAAAGAGATAGCTGACAGAGTTTAGTAGCGAAAGACAAAAGCAATTGAAATAGTAGTCAGCGACTTCAAGAAATAATTCTCTGGCCATCGGCAGATTATCTCGGATGTAATCACAAAGACTTCGTATCAATGCTGAAATCTTTTCAGAAATGGGAGGATACGCTGGAACCAATAATTCGTTGGTCGCAATGGAAGACTTCATGTTGGTGTCACAAAGGGCAAAGATATCTGGCGACCGTTCCAGGAGGAAGTATTCCACGCTGCAGAAGTTGAAACGGATAAACGTCAAGCCAAACATTTCATACCCAGTTTACCATTCATGATAAGCACAAATTAAAATGTTTTATTATATGCACCCATTAAAATGCAATATTATAGGCACCCATTAAAATATAAATATGATAGGCACCCATTAAAATGTAATATTTTGAATTAACACGAAATTAGTGAACAAACAGGCATTTTATGCAGACGTACCAAGTATCAACAGAAAATTAAACAAAGAAGGAAGAAAAAGAAAAATATGAATCCATTTTCCTCCAGCTATGGGTTTAATAGCAAGGCAGACTGACTTCGCTTGACTTAAGAGAGAGAGACAGTCTAGGAGGGGCAAAACTAAATCCAAATAATGTCTTATGTTGGAAATTGCTTAGCACACTGCGCACCATTTTTCTAGTCGACGTTCTGTGGCTTATTCTACTCAAGCTTTCACCACTATAAAGAAAATCATTTGCATGGGTGGTCGAGCGGTTCAGTTCTAAACTTGAATGTTGAACTCCCATAGGTCAAATTCGAGCCTACACACCGACAGGCGCATTCACACACACACACACACACACACACACACACACACACACACACACACATATATATATATATATATAGTGTTTGTTTGTGCGCGTGTGTGTGTGTGTGTGTGATGCGTGGAAATATTCACAGAAAAATCATTCTTGAAAAATAGACATATAGCGATTAAATATTCAGTAGAAAAGAGTTTGTTTTACTTCATTTTGATAAAAACAACAATCGAAATTTTTAAATAGACCAACATATACAGTTTTGGGCTTCATTAAGCTGGTCCCAAGATATATATATATATATATATATATATATATATATATATATAGATAGATAGATAGATAGATAAGAATGAAGGCCAAAATAGATAGATATGAAGCTGATAAGAAAGAAAGAAAGAAAGAAAGAAAGAAAGAAAGAAAGAAAGAAAGAAAATCGGCGTTTTAAATCCTATTTTTTACTTACTATCGAACTAGCGTATTTCTCTCTGTTAACTGACTTTTCTATATATTTATAGACAGATGTATGCGTGGGGAGAGAGAGAGGGGGGAGAGAGAAAGCTTTTATAAAAACAAATGTGGTCTCTAATTTCTGGAGAGGAAATATTCTGTAAGAAGCGAAAATGCTTATGCTGTATAATCTTTTAGGTCTTTAATATTTTCTCTTTTTTTCTTTCCTTTACACTCAGCAGTTCAGATCTTCTTGATTTACCCATTGACTTTTCTCATCGACAATCAAATATATCATGAGAATATCGCGCCGTTCGACCATTCAGTATGCGTCTCAATTTCCTTCAAGATTGCTCTAATTTTATCGAAGATTGTGATTGGCCAATACTGGCACGTGATCACTGCCATTTTCTTTCCTTTTCAAAATTTCATTTTCTTTTTTTCTTTTTTTTTCCTTTATCTTCTGAGATTTTGCTTGCAATTTTTATCGTTTTCTTTGGCTTTATTTTTCATAGCCTCGTTTTCATCTCTAAATATATGATTATAATTTATTTCAATCTCTACTTATATTATTTTGATCTGCCCTCTGTGAAATTCTTGCTACACATTTTTTTCCTATAATATTTATAAAAATTGTACATGTCAAATTTATTATTAAATATATTATATTATCTCAGAAATGGCGATATGATATTAGCCCGTATTCACCTGAAGTCACTGACACTTTTTTTTCCCATATTATCGTCATCATTTATTCATTTAGCGCCGGTATGTTCCCCATTTTCCTCCTCCTGTTCATGGTGAAATTCAAGGCTGAATAGTACAATGAGTTGCCGGTTCCTTTTGCACAAGAGATCCTTAGGTTACCCCGTCCGTCCTCTCAGAAGTTAAAGAGGCAAGACCTACGAGATAAAAGGAGGTTTGAAATCAGAGATTTCCTTCTCTTATACAAGATATAGGACTCTGTCAGTTACTATTTAACCATAGCTGGAAGAAAGAGATGGATTCATACCTTTCCCAAGGATATTAGCACGTAAGTGAATGCAATGAACTCGACTGGAAATTGAACTCCGCTCGACCGATTCTTCAATCCCAGTCGCTATTTATTACTCTAACGTACCTTCAGTTTTTCCATATACTGTAACCATTTTGCTTAAAGTTATTACTTTCTTGATTTTAGATGAAATCTTGGAAATTTTCCATGATATTTCAGTGAAAAATTATAGTTTAGATAAATGAAGAAAAACGCGTCAGTTTTAACTGACACCAAGAGCATATCTATTCAGTTATACTTTACAGGAACTTCCTTTGTTGTAAAATCCGCAATACTAACTTTTAACATCTACTTACCAAAAAATATTATTCCAACTATATTTCTATTATTTATTGTGCGTATTTTAACGCTGGGTGACCTCTCCTATAACAACGCGCTCTAATTTAGGCATATTGTAATCGAATTCTTGTTTGACATTTTTTTATGAATCATATAAAATGTTATATTTTTAGTCGGTCTACATATTATTTATATGATGTATATCTAGATATCGATCTATCTACCTAATTATCTATCCATCTTCCGCTTCCTCCCAATCTGAATTCTCATATCTGTGTATGCCTTTTGTCCAACTATCTATCTATCCGTCTATCATAGTCTGTTTATATCTATCTATCTATCTATCTATCTATCTATCTATCTATGTTTATTTTTATTTTTGATCATATCTATCAATCTATTTTTTAATTCTTGTTTCTGTTTATATCTATTTATGTATCGGTATCTTATTGCTGTTTGTATCTATCTATCTATGTTTATATCTATCTATCTAAACATCTATCTATCTATCTAAATATCTATCTATGTTTATTTTTGATTTTTATCTATCAATCTATATTTTAATTCTTATTGCTGTTTATATCTATCTATCTATCTATCTATCTATCTATCTATCTATCTATCTGTCTGTCTGTCCGTCTACCTATATATTTATTTCAAGAAGCATTCTTCTCTCTATATATATATCTATATATCGTAACACTCATTCTTATCACTGCCCTGATATTTATTCCTTATATATATTTATCTATCTATCTATCTGCCTGACTGTCTGTCTATCGATATATCTATCTATCTGTTTGTATCCGTTTAAACTCTATCTATTTCTCATCTTTTCCCCGCTAATTTCACTTCCTCTTTTTTTTTTTGTCCATATTTTCATTTCTTGCTTTAAACCAATCTTCATTTTTATATCATTTTTTAAGTTTTTTCTGATTATTTCACTTCATCGTTTTTTTATAGTCTGTCTTACCAACATTGTATTTATTTTGAATTATACATACATACATACATACATACATGTTCGCACAAATAAACTTTTTTATTTCATTTAAGACTTGTATTATTTCCGCCTTTCCAATATTTATACACATTTTTGTTATTTATTTTGCAGTATTTTTTTTGCCCCTTGCACACTTTTTTATTTTTATTTTGGTGCTTTTTCGTTCTTTTTCTTTAATTCTCTCCTGGTTCCGCTTTATATTTCTCCCTTGCTCTATTTATTGGCTTTCTTTTTCTATTTTATAAGCAATCTATCTCTCTTTCTATCTATCTATCTATCTATCTATCTATCTATCTATCTATCTATCTATCTCTCTTTCATTTTCTCTCTCCGACTCTTTCCCTTTCTCTTCTTCTCGTTTTTTCTTTCTTTTATATATATTTTTATATCTTTATTGTCGATTTCCTTTCACATCCCTTTTTGACACATTTCTGTTTTAGAATAATCAATATGGCGCATTTTCAAATATTTTGTCGCGAATTTAATTTTCTTCTTCCCTGTTTTGCCTATATCCACGGTTAATTTGATGCTGAATATATTTTTCCACACTATTAATTTAGCACTAAATATTCTCTATATTATAAGTTATTACAAATTGTACACTTTATGATTATTGCTGTTTGATATATAACGCTCGCGGCCATCACATTATTATCATCATATTACGATTCTGCTTGTTCTCTCGTTCCTTAATTAATTACTTAACACGTACGGTACGTCCCGCCATTACCTCAGATAAACAATGCGTCACTGCTGTTTAATTGCGAGCTTAGACGGAAGAAAAGATATATCAAACGTGCTGCTTGGTTTTAGAGTAACAAAGAAAGAAAGGAAATAGGAGATAGGAGAGGGAATAGTACTCATGTGTTTGACGTCTGCTTCAGTGAAAGAAAAACTTGTCAATTTCAAATATTTTCATTTACTTAGATCATAAGATGTTGACTTCCATATGACTTCAAACAAAAGATTAGGAAGGAAACTCCATTTGGTACTAGAAAGTGCAATAAGATTTAATGGACCTGAGAAAACTATTTTCCTTAAAAATTGTTTGAGAGAAAAAATTGATAAATTTTAACCGATGGAATTTCTAACTGTTCGATCCAGCGATGCCGAATGTTACCATATAAGAAAACGGCATATCTCACAATTACCATATATTTTACGGTTCTAAATCTTTGTATTTTACATAAATTTTATTAGATTTAGGTTCTGGAAAATATACGAAACAAATAAATAAATGAAATAAAATTCCTTGGCCATTTTTTCAAGCTACTCTATCATGTAGTTATTCTTTCTGTTATTTTTTTCATATTTCTCCTTTTATTTACCTCGTTCTTTTTCGTCGTCTTTTCTTACTTTTATATTTCTCAAATCTTTCTGCTTTCTTACCAATCGAGCCGACCGTTTAACTCACTTCATTCCTTTCACCTTATTCGTTGGTAATTTTCTTCTTTTTTATGCAACACGTTTTTGTATTTAAGCATTTATCAGTCCGGTGTATCTTTGCTTTCATTCAAAATGTACGTTTGCTTAGCAATCGTTTTACAACCAGCAATTCTTTTAATAATAATAAAAAAAAGATTAAATAAAACGAAGCGGAAATGAAAAGCTAAAATGCTGTCCCTTATGCCCTCTTACAAGAAAATATTTTCTAGTTTGTTATGAGATTTCTACAAGTACTAGATGCCAGTCACTCTCAGTAGCACAAAGCAAAATGTCTAAGTTGTCGCCTGGATTGAATCATTTAAGCGGTCGAGTTTGTTTTTGCGGCCAGCTGACATTTTTCAAAATAGATGGCATTAGAGCAGAGAGAGTTCTCACGTCTACAGAATGTTTTCGCCCCAGGGTAAAAAAAATGTCTGCGTAAAATGCGCTTTAATGTAACTGACGTGGTTTCACATTAAATCTGAAGGCTAGCCATGGCTGTTTTTTTTTCTTTATTTTTTTTCTGATTTGAAAAAAGTATTAACATATAATTTCTCTCTAATGTGAAGTTATTATTTACATCCCGACTAATGTCTTCATCTTTGTTTTTACCATCTTCAAGTAATTTTGAACTGGACCCGTTATTTAATCTACAAATGCCTAAATCTTACATGGTCCACAATTGAACACACAATCACCATGCCACCAATGCTCGAACCAACACCTTAATCCTCTTGACTTCTTCGTGTCCTCTCAGCACCTAGGCCAGCATATCTCTCCTCAACTTCCTTTCCTTTGTAGCTCTTAATAATTTTTTTTTCTTTTTGCTATGTCTCCTAAACCCTGTTCCGTCATCCATTTACTCAAGCACACTATGCGTTGTTTTCCTCTGTCCCTTCAATCCTTCCTGTGAGCATCAGATTTTCCAAGACTTCTTTCCTCATCATGTCCTAGAAATTTCAACTGTCTCTTCCTAATGTTAAATATAAGTTTCCATTTTGTTCCCATTTTCTCTAAAATTTCGTCATTCTTCAAATAATCATGGTATCCTCAGTATCCTTCTGTAAACTACATTTCTGTTGCTTTCAAGTCTGTTCTTCATTTGTGAAAAGATTGTCCAGCATTCACTGTCATATAAGAAGATTGATATTACGTAACAGTTCAGTACATTTTTCTGTTTCTTAATACTCTGCTCAACATTTAAAAGGCATTTTTGGCTCCTCCAATGAGGCTTCGGACTTCATTGTTACTCTTTTTGTCGTCTGTTCAAACACTTCTCAGTTATTTAAATTGTTGTACTTGTTTGATGTTGTTATGTCCAATTTGTAATTTAGACGTTGGGCTGTCCCTTTTGTTAACAACCACGCATAGACATATAGTCATAATATATTTCAGTTAAGTTTGTTTTAAAATACGCAGTCGGAGAATTAAGATAATACTTCTTCTGGTGTAAATTTATCCTTCAGTAAATTTAAATCTATCAATTGAAATTATTTAAACTCCGCAAAAGCAATCACTGCCATACTGGAAGTCATGAATTACGTAGTAAGTATTTACTCAGTCCCCCCCCCACTAGAACGAGATGTGACATAAGGTCTATTTTTAAGTGGGGACCCGAGCTTGTACACCCGGGACAGGAAAACAAATTTCCCTCGACGGTTTCGCTGGCCTCGGTACGAGCACCGATCCCTCCCTCTGGTGCAATGGGAGGGCGCGGCCTCGGGCAGCTTTTCCCCAGGGCTGGGCACCTCTTCAGTATGATTTTCCTCAGTTGCCCCTCTGTCCTTTGACAGAGAAGCCCCTGAGCGCACTCTGCCCAAAGACAGAGACGCAACTGAGAGATGATAAGTCGACGCGACCTTACTCAAAAAGAGGAAGGTACAAATTACCTAGCAGTTTAATACTCTTTTCCTTGTTCATATTAATCCTAGACGACACAGCAAGAACAATCTCTCTCCGTAGATGAAAATTTCAGTTTAAAAAATCTCTGAGAATTGCCGAGATCGGCAGACACTTGAAGAAGGTCACAGTGTACAAGTGCCTATACATTGTGATAATAACAACAATGATGAGGAAATTAGTTTGGATGTAAATAATCTCATGACGAATTTTGGAAAAGTAAACTCACTACTAGAAACCATGGTATGTAAAATTCGAGAGAATAGCTCAGTTATAAAAGACTCTTTTATATTTTACGTTAAATGTAAACCACTGAATTTTTCTTATTCCTTCTACTTCGTTAATACAACAATTTTCTGTGGCATCTTTTGCAGAATATTTGGAAAACCTATGAAGTGTCTTTGAATTTTACGCAGCTCTTAATTCGCTGTGCAAAATGTCGACCGTTCTTCATTGATTACAAGTCCTTCAAACGAAATCAAAAGCTAGACATTTCAACCATCAACCATCAAAAGCTAGACATTCAACAATCTTCTAATATATGGTGAATTCAACCCTTTCTGTTTGGCGGGGACTGCAAAATTATTCCTTAAAATGTATTAACTGAACTTGGAAAAATAGTTTTAGCGAAGGATATCGTGAACAATTAGCTCCTTTGAATGACGCTTTGTAACAGAAAATAGATTTGTTTCGGAAAAGTCGGCCGATGATTTTACTATATGCCAACGGCTGTACTTACATTTTGAGTATTTGCCTTAAGTTTTTTTTGATATTGTGGCAACGAATTAGCTATCTCTATAAATTTTACTTTTTCTACCCAATTGTCCGATACTCGTTAACCGTCCAGTTCGGTGTTCAATCATCCCCGTTATCATCATCAGCATCCTCAAACTGTATTCAAAATGACAAGCAAGAACAGTCCTAATATATTTGTTACGTTTGTGATTCATTTACCATCAACGTTCAGCAACGTGTCATCACAACTGAAATCAAAATCTACAAATTGTTCTTTGAATGCCCACTCGGGGATAAGGATAAGAGTTAGGCGCCACATATCATCTGCTCAGCTTGTTCCAATGGACTGAATTATGGATCCAATGGATTGAATTAATAAAAGGAATAGCGCAACAGTGTTTTCAGTGCCTATTATATGGAAAGAACGAAAGGATCATTGCAAAGACTGTTATGGATAATGTATGTAGATTTACGGTTAAAACCTAAGATTGTTTATCCCAACCAGAGTATCATACAGCAATGATGACCTTCCTGTTCCAGGATCAAGACAATGGCCTTCAAAGGTGAGACAAACAAGTACTTCATGGAGAAACTACTAGTGATGTAGAAACATGGATGCTTTTTTTTTTGTTCTTGAAAATAAAGACGAACCACATAAATTTTCTCATATAGAATTAAACGATTTGGTTAGATTTGGTAGTGTCAAAGGATAGAGCTGAACTTTTAGCACCTCGTCTCAAAGGAAAGGGTTTTCTTAAGGACGATTTTTGTGTTAATAAATAAGGATATGATTTATTTCTTCTCTGTAGTCGAGCCACTTTGTTTCTATAATAATGTTAATGATTTATTTTATGGTTTGTGACAAGAAATCTCAACGCACTACTTCTATACAAAGTCAATAAGAAAATGTCCTTTCCTGTATGGCATTCAGTACACAGAAAGTAGTCTTATGAGAACATGCAGGTACTCCTCGATACTCAAGTGCTCAAAATACACCTGAAATAGACTTAAAGATGATTGAAGCGTTGATGCAAATACAGTCAAGATTCACGAAATATTACTGTTTTATACCCTTAGGACAGTCGTACAACTGCCAAGCAATACATGCAATCAGAATGGCCCAGCGAGAATCATATGAGCTGACAGTCTCTAACGTTCAGAGTAAGCTATTAGTAAAGCCCTTCTTCATCTAACGCTTGCGTTCATGTAACATTATGCGAAGGTACTTGCCAGAAAGAGCTCAGAAGGTTTGAATATGTGACGGTCAAGTTTCCAAAATTCTCTGATGAAGGAAGCATATTGGTAGGTCTGCAGATAAACGAATAACTTAAGGAAAACAACTTTGGATGACATTGGAATTAACGCCTGGAAATCCTTTAAGTGGATCTGTGAATATTTCCTGGGTAACAAGGGATTTCAATAGTTTTATAAATGGAATAAAGTGTTTTCTATAGTGTTTTGCAGCAATGAGCTGTCGGACGTCACTGAAAATCCATTTCCTTGATTCACATCTGGACTTTTTTTGCATAGAAACTTGGAGCAGTGTCTGATGAGCAAGGGAGACGCTTTCATCAAGAGAGCATCAATGAAGCCATGATATCAAGAATTTTGGAATGAAGGAATGCGACTGACTATGTTGGAGGCATGAACCTGAGAATAAGCACCAAAGAAAGTCTAAATCCCAAATATTTTAAGTTATAATTGAGTAGAGTATTTGATTTTGTACAACAAATTGCCACAGAAATGTCATATATTTTATTTATTATAACTTATAAGTACTTGAGTTACGTACCTCAACGTGAAAACTGCAGGTATCAGCAACATAAAAATGTGACTAGATAGAGAAAAACTCAGATTTGTAAACAACAAATCTTTTAACTCTGATGATTAAAAAAGTTTCATTTTGTTGATTAGCGTTATTAGTCATGCCCTCACTAAGTGCCCCATACTTGCTACCTTTCACTTATTATATCATTATAATAATTATTCTTATCCATTACTGCTGAGCAACTGACCAGCTCCATCGACATGTCTGGGTTGAAAGGCAAAGTCGTATTTATTCATGGGTTTTGTTTCTTAGGAAACTAAACCTAGCGATGTGTATCTCTTTTTAGGTCAAAGCAAAGCCGATGTCCTCCAACTGAAAAGCTCGTCTTCATGACAGACAAATGACTGTTGATTCCATCGAGCTCTTCCCTTGCCGTTAACTTCAGTGTTTAGTAAATAACAACTCGTAATGATGTCATATCTCTTACTGGGAGTTTACAAGTTTTTTTTTGTATTTTTTTTTCATTTTTTGGTTGTTTTTTTTTTTGTTTTTTGTTTTTTCTTATTAACTAGACAATTGCTCATTGATATATAGTACGATTTCAAATAAAACCATCCCTTCGAGATTTCTAGAGCTGAAGAATTGAAGCATTATAACATCAACAAATTATACTTCTTCTGATAATACCTACGAACATCCCCGTACGAACATCCAAGTTAAGCAAAGTCTAGCCTGGCCAGTAGCTAGATGGGTGGGAATACCGAGTTCTGTAAGCATGGAATGTTTGTGGGTAATGTAAGGGATAAGGGCTCATAAATTTCAGTCGGAGAGCCGAGTTCCAATTGCAGTTGCGATCGTTAAAATCACTTACGCGCAAATACCCTTGAGAAAGCTATGAAATCCACCTCGTCCGCCCCTAGCTATGGATTAATTAGTAAGGTATGTATCACTAAATCATTAATATCTCAAAAAACAATTCTTACAATCTAAAAATATTTTCTGGCTTTAAATAACCTGCAAAAGATTGATTAGTCGGAGAAAGCGAATCATTCAAATAAAATCAAATAATGCCTATTATGAGGGCGTTTATGGGCGTGTAGATGAGGGGTTGGGACATTATTATACTGATCATCAGAGCTGATGTTTAATCTCACCAAAGTCAAGGCGGTAACATCTTGATAATACTGGCAAAACGATTGCAGTGTAGAGAAACGTTGGCAAGTGCCTGAAAACCGTACCAGGGGTTGACCCAAATTAGCAAAATTAGGTAGACGAAACTGTCCGGAAACCTTCGATGGATTTGCAAGCACGAAGACACAAGTCATTGTGACTGAGTCTTGAGCGTGCTCGGCTTGTCAACTACTGGTCACAGCAGATTATGCCTTCTGTCCCAGAAACTGCAATTAAGGCCCGCTCATAGTTACAGTATACATCAAAGGTTGGCTCTATGGGTATTGAAGAATTACAAATGTATCTGAGTAGGTATCTTCAAAGAGGATAATCCTAACAAGCTTGTATTCTCAGTAACGAGTAAACAGCCATTATATTGATATTTACTCAACTTTGCTTAGCCTGGAACAATGCTTCAATTTCCGTACACGGCCATGATATATTCAGCAATCAGGTTCTGTTGTTACACAAGTCAAACATATATTTCTGTCTCTTTCATACACTATGAGTATTTCCATATTTTTCTCCGTGTATTTTTTGCCGAAATTTTTGGATGAGGAACATTCTTTTTCATATACTTTAAAAACGGGCATATAAATATACACAAAATTATAGGGTAGAACATTTTTTTGCGGGGGTATATTTATATACACTTTTTAAAATGTCTGTTTTAAGGCTTTAATATACTTTGCTCGTCAGAAAAAAAAACATGTTCATCTTAGTTGGTTTAGTCACAATGTTTCAGTCATTGAATCCCTGGTTTTCTTCAGGTGTCAGTCGCCATACTCAATTACATTCTTTGAATTGTGATCAAGACCCTTTCTTCAATCTCTTTATTGTAAAAAAATAAGCAGATATATAAAATAGGAGATAAGACCTACACTGATACGAACGTCATACCTGAAGATAACCAGGCGAATATATCAAGTATTAGATCTACACTGCGTTTCAAATTATTAATGAGGTGATATTTTTTCATTTTGTCCAAAAACTACCAGTTGGAATTTAACGGAATTTTCATAGTATAATGGGAATAGGCTGTATAAAAACTGTATTGTTCTTCGTAACAGAAAACAAACGGTGACCATCTGCAATATTAACACGATATAGAAGTGTTCCAGACTATAAACAAGTGTCATTATAATCGTGCAATTATGGGTTTCAAATGTGACTTGACGCCTTCTGACAAAGATACTATAACACCTGAACTTTCCAAAGGCAAATCTACATTAGAAATATCCAAAATAATTGGAAGATATCACCAAATTATGAAAAGATTGTTGCAGTTTTTACGAAGGTACGTAAGAGGGCCGATAAGGGTCACTCGAGGCTTCTTTCCCGATGTTCTTTGTCGCGAACGAAACATGAAACTGTAAATAACCCAGGTCTGACCAGTGGAGCTCTTTTTAGAAGCAATGGAGAAGCAACGGTGTCTAGAAGTACTCGCTATCGCCCTCTGAAAAAGGTCGGGACATCAGTGAGACCAGTGACAAAGCCTCGACAAGAGTACACATACAAATGCGATTGAAATGGGCAAGGGATAACATGAAGGTCGATTTCTTGAAAGTTCTGTTCACAGATGAATGTCGTGCAACACTTGATGGCCCTGGGGGTTGGAGAAAAGGTTGAGCCGTAATAGACGGGATCGTCATTAAGGCTTGACACGCTAACAAGTAGGAGGAGGTATTATGATTTGGGTTGGTATTATTTGAGATATCATGGCTGGTCCGTGGAGAGTGCCTGACGGTAGGAATATAATCGCAGATGCTTATATAGCCTTCCTCAAAGAGGACCTGAAATCTTGACTAAAAATGCAAATGATCACCAGGAGAACCATCATATTTATGCAAGATAATGTTCCTTCGTATATTGCGCATAAAACTGTGTAGTATCTGCAGAAATTAGGCTTCTGTGGACCTCGGAAGATGAACTGGTCGGTCAATTCTCCAGATTTAAACCCAATTGAAAACTTTATTTCTTACTCGTGTCTACTTAAAAATATACCTTCATTACATTTTGTTTACCGTGGGTCAGTGATTAGCACGCTACTCTAGCAAAACATTATTGTAATGAGTTCGATCTGCAACTATGCTCTACACTAGTAACCTTATCATTGACTAAGATCGGTTTAGTAAATATAGCATAATAGGCGCCTCGTTCTGGATAAAATGGCGAGCAAACTAGTCGAGACGAACATTATTGCTGTAATTAAATTGATCCTTACTAGGAGTTCAGTACATGTGGCTTTTTGCCAAATTCAAATTCTGGTCTAAGTTGTTCCGTTATTTTTCGTACTAATGCGTTGGAGAAAGGCATGACTCCATCTCTTCTATTCACCGACTGTTGTTTAAATAGAAGGGTAGACTGGACTCTATCGTTGCAGAGTAGTCTAAGACAAAGTCTATTACTCTCAATTCAAAACAGTAGAGACGTCAACTGGAAACTACTTCACTATCTTTGATAAGTCATGGTAATTTACGGGTAGTAGAGTAATCTGTGGAGAGCTATGGTCATCTACGTCCTGAAGGGAATAAGCTTAGTAAATAACCAAATTATATTTTGTTTGAACAAGAAGTTCAATCAAGAAAATATTAACGAAAGCAAAACAACGCAAAAGGCGGTAATAACGAATTTCACAACACATTTTCTTTTCAGCCTTTTTTCTTCTATTTGCCACGTCCCTTCCGGACATAGGTTAACATGGTTCTCCACAACTTCCTATCTCGTGTGGCTCTTGCCAGTTTTTCTCCCTTTGCTAAGGGCACCGCATTTTCTGTCATCCATTCATACTATCTTCCCCTATCTCTCTTGCATTCAATAAGCCCTTTTAGGGTGAGGTTTTCCAAGACTTTCTTCCTCACTGTACCCAAGGAATTTCAGCTGTCTGTTGTTGAATCTGAATATAAGTGTTCTTTCTTTTGCCATTTTCTTTAAGACTTCCTTGTGGCTTATTCGCTCCGTCCATGGAATGTTCAGTATCTTTCTGTAGGACCGCATTTCTGCAGCCTCTAGTTTTCTCCTCATCTGTGGGGAGATTGTCCAACATTCATTGCTATCACATGGCAATTCAGCACTCTTTTCTTTATTTCTAACGAATCTTTTCAGTTTCTCATCATCTTGCTTAACTTTTGGAATGCTTCCTTTGCTAGTCCAATGCGTGTTCAGATCTCGTTGTCGCATTTTCCTCCTTCTGTTTAAACGCTTTCTTAGCTTCATATATTCTTATCTCTCTGTATTTTTATCTCTCCCCCACCCACAAGCAGGCAAATATTCCGCATGCATCTTTGGATTTACTCTAAAATGTATTCCTTATTTTTAATAAATCATGTCTCTTTTCAGTATTACTCTTTCATTATATTTTTTCTCATTTTTACAAGTTCCATTTCTTTGGGTTGATAGTTTTTTTTCCAGATATGTAATTTTTCCATCTTTTATGCTATCTTGATATTTTTATGCACGAAATTTCGTCTCATTATTTTCATTCGTTCTTTTTAATCCTATAAATCTTTTGATAGCTTTTTCTATTACTATTCTAATATTTCTTCTTCCTTTGCTTTTTTCCATAATCATTCCTTCACGTTTCTATTTATTTCTCTTTTTTTTCTTTCTTTCTTCACTTTCTTCATTTTTGTTATTTTCTTTTTTTATATTCTTTCCATTTTATCTTTGTCAATCTTTCGTGTTTTTTTGTTTTGTTTTTGTTTTCTTGTTTTTTTTTTTTTTCATTTTGTCTTTTTTCCCATAATTTCAAAATTAATCTTTTATTCCTGGACGTGTTTCTTCTTTGTGACTTATCTCTTTACAGATTTCCGCCATTTTGACTTCAATATTTTCTTTCATTTCTTTTCATTAACATTACAATTACTTTTTTCTCCGCTCCTCGTTTCTTTTTTTAAATCATTGCCTTTTTCGCTTTATTTTTATTCCATTCGTATACACTTCTTTTCTCTCCCTTACTGACCCTCTTTGATGGAATCGTAAAGGCTAAATCGTCATAACATTGTTGAACTGATCATGCGCACACGCCGCTTGCATGTTCGCTATGATAAGACGTAATTTTTGCTGAATTTCTTTTTCTTTTTTTTTCTTTTTTGATTTAATAGAACGATTTTTGTGGGATTAGATTTTTTGCGTATTCACGAGTTCGAGGGAAAAACCAAATTGAGATGAAACATGTCTGTAAGTTTGTATGAAATGTATTAATCAAAAGGCAAATATGACCAAAAGTTACTTTAGAAAGTTGATTCCCAATATATGAGTCGTTTAAATCTAAAATAAGTTTATTATATTTAATTATATTATTGACCCATTCGAAAAAAGTGAATCAATCTACCCTACCAGTGTGTTAAGCTGATACAATCTGAGAGGACAACTTAGTTCTCTTACCAGTTGGTATATATGTGATAAATATATCATGTATATCTGTGTATAAACCTACTTAGCGTATAAATCCATCCTTGTGGGGATTGTAACGCAGGCTTATCATAGTTGCGTCTCTGTGTTTGGGTAGAGTGCGCTCAGGGGCTTCTCTGTCAAAGGACAGAGAGGCAACTGAGAAAATTATATCGAGAGGTGCCCAGCCCTGGAGAACAGCTGCCCGAGGCCGCGCCCTCCCATTGCACCAGAGGGAGGGATCGGTGCACGCACCTAGGCCAGCGCAACCGACTGTTGCGGGGAATGAGGGCAATTTTTATTCTTGTCCCCGGCGTACGCGCCTGGGTCCCAAACTAAAAAAGACCTTGTGTCACATCTCGTCCAAGTGGGAGGAAGGTGTTAATACTGTGTATAAACCTACTTCGGGTATAGTGTGAACCGTAAATGCTTTTGTGAAAAACCTGATTTTTTCCATATAACTAATGTATAATGCTATCCCAGCTTCTGAGCAATACTAGTGGGCCTACGATAGTCAAATACTGTGCATGAACCTGGGTATATTTTATAGCAAATAAATGGTCTTCATTCTTTTTTGTACAAAGCTTCCCTAAAATGGTGAGGAAAACCATTTACGGGAAAATATCTGATACGATGATTTAGATACCGTACTTTTGTTTTCGTTCATGCCTGACATATCTACATCGTTAAGGTTAGCCAAAGGTACTGTGGAATGTAGGTTTACCACATTCATTACGGCCACAGAAAATCTATAAATTTTAACCCCTTCAGAAAATATTTACCTGTGTATGGTGCAACTGGTCACCGAAAATAGATGATATTTAAACTTTTTAAAAAAATACCTGTTTATAGTGTGACCCTTTTTTTTGCGGGAACTGATCATAAGAACTCGTACAATACTCTAGTATATGAGGTATTCATATAAGTAATGTAAAACTTTTAAACCAGTCAGATGTATTAAAAATAATAGTAAAGTGTATGTGAGTAGAAAGTAAAGTTTTAGAAAAAATAATGACTCGGTGATAGGACAAGTGGACTCCTATGCAATTTTAATAGGATACAATATGGGAAAATGAAAAATAAGAAAAGAAAGGCAACACTAAATAGAATTTTATTGATACCTTTCCCTTAATAAAATATAAATAGATATCAATGTAAAATCGTGTTTGTAAAATAGAGGAGAATAGATTAAACGGTTAAGGATTAGAAAAAGGGAAAAAGATCTAAACGAAAAAAAGAAAAAAAAAAACAGAAAATTTGCGGGAAAGTTACCTTTTTCTGAAATAAGATATATTCGATGAGGTCAATTTCCGGGAAAAAGGAAAAAGAAGATGGAGTCAGTGGTGTCTTTTAATTAGCAGATGAATTGGTGAATCAGCAGTTAGCAAGAAGGTGATATTTCCTTTTAAAATAAAAAGGGAGTTCCTCCTTACAAAGTTTTTTTTTCCATGAGAAATCTTACATCCTAGTAAGATAGGTCTGCAGATTCTCTGATTGAGAAGTTTACTCTCTCACTGATTTCCTCTTCTACATCACTGACAATTACTCGGCATTTTTTCTGCTGCAGAAAATAAAAATAGACAATACAAACCATGTGCGTTGCGCTATCTAATACTACAAAATACTTTCATTTTCAGAAAGAAAGACATTGCGATTTTGGTGCATTGGCCTGAAGCGACACAACCGACTCGGCCCACTACAGAGCAATGAGCGGGGTTGTGAAACACCATTTTCAAGACATATACTGATTTTGTGACTATGTCACATCAAGACAACATCAGTAGCATCTTTTAAGCACGAAATTTTAACCACATATTTGACAAGATGTGCATTTTATGCAATTCTCACCATACGGTTCTACGCACGAACACCAAATAAAATAATCTGTGGATTCATCAATGTTATTTATTTATCTTTATCTTTTGTTTACGGCACCTTTCCCACGTTTCTACTGAGGAAAATAAAAGTAGCCAATACAGATTATATGCGTTGTGCTATCTAATACTACAAAAAAAAATTTCAATTTCAAATCATCTCTAGATTCGTCAATATTGTTAATTTATCTTTATCTTTTGTTTACAGCACCTTTCCCACACTTCTTTTTTTATATGGACACTTTTTGAAATTGTTATTTTGCATGATTTTCTTTTATGTCTGTCTCAGTTGTGTTCCCTTCAGAGGTGTCAGTGCGAACAGCTGATCTTTTCTTTCTGGTCAACAGAGAATAATGCTTTGAGTAAGGAATCAAGATTCTCAGAAGAAAATTCTTCAGCTAAGGTATGCTTCTTCTTCGTTGGAGTTACATTGTGCCAATTTGGCCTTAACGACAGCACAGTAATGTATATTTGAGTCAAACCAGTGAAGTGCCAATAAAACACTTGCATTGGTAATGTGATACAAAGTCGCAGTCAGTTCCATATCATTGCACAAAGCATTTAAATTATGTTTGAACTCTCTATGTTTTAATTGTTAGTATATATTTTCAGATCATTAAAAAGGTTATTTTCTTCCACAGAAAAATAACTTTATAAAACTGATGGCCGTCGAAGTTCTCGCTGCACAGATTGTCAGTTAGCTGCTCTTGAGACAGCCTAACACTGTGTGACGACAATGACATCATCCATCCTTGCATGCATGACACTGATTATCTCAAGGTATATTCTGGAATTTGTAACCTTTATCAGCAACTTCTCATAATTTTTTTACACACATTGGAACATCAGGACACCTGTCATTGTTTCTGTCGTACGGAGATAAAACTGTCATTGGACATGAATCATCAGAAAACCCATAGTGGTTATCAGTTAGGCAAGCTACCCACCAAATGATAATCCTCGGCTAGTCATTATTGTTCGAAAAGTAATTTTGTCAAGATGTTTAAACAACTCACACACAGTTAAAATTACTAAAATTTGATGTTTTCAAACTCAGAAAAACAAATTAAAAATGCTTTAAATCTAGCCTTTTTCGCCCGAAAAGTAATGTTTTCAGCAAATATTAGTCAAAACACTAATGTTTTTTGCTATCGCTGTCCATTTTAAGGAATATACATGAATTAATCTTCGTTATTTACTATCGACCAATGGGTGAGTGGCTTTCTGTTTTCTCAGGACGTGGATTTTGTATTATCACCAGAATGTAAGAGACACATTTGTTCTCCTTTCGCTGGGTATTTTATTCCTACCTATCATACGGTTTTTCCCGCGTCTGCACATCCTAATACTCGTGATTACATATCGCGAGCAACAACTCATATCCCTCACGTCGACATGCTGATGCACCTGACTTCGCTGAAGGACACTAAGAGCAATATGTGGTTGGGCATCATATGATATGAGACTTATTCGACATTAATCGTTTACCCTATTTTTGTCATATTTTTACCGTGTGATGCAGGGGGAGGTACATTTAATTGTGTATTAATAATTCATTTTCAAGGTTTCTGTTTTGACTGGAATTCAAATAACAAAAATACATTTTACAAACAAGTTCCCGAAACTAAGAAAAATTGGTGCCAAAGACACTAAATATTTCCTGTCCAATGAGAAATGTTAGTGATGAGGTCACACTTGAATTTTCTTTCCTCGAGCTTCTTGCCGCCCACAGTGAGCCATATAGTGACAATGCTTAGTGAAGTCAGTATAATTCTTTCATGTTATTCACGCTATACAGTTCATCCTCAACATTGTGACAAAGAGTTGATGAAATTAACAAGTCAACTTTTGAGAGAATTTGTCCAGATATTATAAATTTCTTCACTATCTTTCTGGTTTTCATTCATTACCTGTACAAATAAAAATATACTTTTTTCTCATCGCTACTATCTGGTTCGTATTCTTTTTTCTGTTCCTTATGTATGTTTAGTTTTGTTAAGTACATTCAACTTCATTCTCTCTTTTCCAGTAACCAATTCCCGATTTAACCGTCTGCTGCATTCCCAAGCGGCTAAACAGAATACCTAGCAACCAGCCACAAAAATACTGTACCACCGTCAACAACTTGTTGACCTAACAGAAGTCTACGAAATGATGTACAAAATTCAGCATCTATACTCTCTTTTAAAAAGATTTGAAATGGTTTCGTCTCATGCAATTATTTTAATTTTTTGTATTCTAGACAGTTCTGTAATTTACGAATCAGTTATCTTTTACTCCTCATTTATTAGTGTTAGTATTAGTAGTAATTTATTATTAGAAATACTACTTCATGTATAATACAAAATATTAGTTTGGGTAAAGAGAGTGTTAGAAGCTGATTTAACCCTTTGAACCCTGAGTTCTTGAACAATTTTAACCCTTCTGCCTGAGCTCCTGAGTTAAATAATCGGTATGTAATATTTCACGGAAGATATAGTTAGAAGCGTTTACCCGCCGTTCAACCGGTAGCTGAGCATTAAGTCATTTTTCTTTACCACTGTTCAACCGGTAGCTGAGCATTAAGTCATTATTCTCTACCACCGTTCAACCAGTGGCTGGGCATTGTCATTTTCCCCTATAACTGTTCAACCGGTGGATAGTCATTACGTCATTTTTCTCTACCACAGGTATAGCGGTGGTCAAGGCTCAAAG